ATATATATATATATATATATATATATATACATATTCTTTTTATATATATACACACATATGTCTTGCATTCAAAGATAACAATCAAGAGCTCAGCTGCACATATATAAAAACATACCTAATGTATGTCTTTTGCTTTTTATCCAAGAACTGCCACTCCCGTTTCTAAAGGAACAATACAAACCAGATAAAGGAGGAGCAGCACAGGGATGTAGTTTTTTAAGAAATAAAATAAATATGGTTATCTTGTATGGTTCATAGCTGTGGAAGCACAAACGTCTTTGCCACATAAAAAAACAAAAACATATCCCTTTGCAATGTTCCACATGAAGTCATTTGCGGTGATGATCGAGCATCTCAGAGATGTTAAAAAAAGGCTTAGTTTTAGATAGTTTTAAAACATGAGAAGTTGAAATGTGCTCCTATCATTTCTCCTTCATTGGATTTTCAACATTTTGCTTCTCATGCTCCAAGTATCCTTGTAGTCCATCACTCCAGATTAGGTGAAAATGATTAGGATTAAATGCAGTATAATAACACTTTCATGAAACTGTGTCCTCCATTGCTGCCATTTCGTAGGATCTCCTGTCCTGTCTCCTCAATCACTGGTTGTTCTTATAACTCATTTCACCTTCTGCTCTAGTGTTTGCTGTGATAAGCCTTTTATACTCTCCCATTTTATTTCTGTTTCTGTTTCTCACTATTTTTCATAACAAGCTTAAAACCAGAATTGAGGTATGACTCAAGCAGTGACAGTTTGTTATTATTAAGCAATCTATAATTTTTTTATTTTGTGCTTCACAGGTGTTTCATACCTGATGTTGCTTAGCATGCAATAACTCGAACTCCTCAGAGTACAGTATTCTTCCATCCCTGCTTGCAAAACTGTGAGACATTGTACACAGTTTTGAAGGGAAACTAAACATTCTCAGTAAACATCAACACAAGGGTTTCTTTTTCTTAGCTGAACTGTGGCACAGCAGTCAACTTCAGGTGAAAGAACCCGGAGTACACTTGAAATCACAATAAACGCACAGTAAAGTGACCTTTAGTGGGATTTTTAATCTTGTTTTTAATTTTAATCATACTGTGTTTAATATAAGTCTGCAGATGAGGAAGTTAGAGCACCACAGCTTGCAGCACACAGCACTGTGCTGATTCATAATAATGCAAGGAGAAGTTTCCTCCTAAGCAAACAGAACATATAACAAAAGGAAAAACAGGTAATTCAAACTAACCTGCCCTGACAAATTAAATGTACAGAACTTGTTTTGAAGTAAGAAAGAAAAGGCCCTAATGCTTTATTCATCTGATTCCTGAATATAAAGGAGGACTATTCATGGACGAGGCTTCATCACATTCCTTTGCTGTTGTCACTGCAGTCGTGTGACGTCACAATTATGTCTGAACAACTACCAGAAGTTACAAAGTGCTTCAAAAATAGAAATAGTACAAATGTAAATAGAATAAGTAGGAAA